CCGGTTTATTTTCAACCGGTTTTTCTTCGTCCCACCTCCCACCACCCCCCTCCCACCGGTTTTTCTCTTTCTCGTTTGGCCGACAATACCCAACGTATTTATGGTAATCAATCACAATTAATCCACGTATGGTAATCAATCCATGTATGGTAAGACTATAACTATGGAAATTTCGAATATGGTAATTATCATCAGAATCAAAGCTTTCCAAAAAAGTTCTTCTTGCCATACCCTAATCGTGACCTCCTCATCCCGAGGCATTATTTCCATCTATTTCTCAGCTGAATCAGAACTTTCCAAAACTTTGTCTGGCTAAATCACAATTTTCCTTCCTTCCCTATCATCTCAATCGAATCATGAGCTATAGGTAAGTCATTTCATTCTCCACCTCGCACGGGTTGTACTGATTTTTATCATGGTTTGGCCCCCTGCCGTACAAGCCGCTCGATTCCTCCTCCCTCGCTCAATTCCTCCACCCTATCTTCTTCTTCATGGTGAGCGACCCAGGCAGCGATGCGTGCCCGTTATGCATCAGCGAGGAGGATCAGGAAACGTTGATTGCCAGCCCCGCGCTCGTCACGTGAACCCGTTCACCGTCAGGTCATGCTGGTGTGTTACGGGTGTAGGTGCACCTTACCTTAGCCATGGAGGTTTGCCGGTGGACAACGGAGGCCTCGCCATGGACACCAGTATCCCTCTCCTCTTCCTACGTCCTACCTCTCCTTCCTCAGTCTCTACCTCTCTCTCTTTTTCTCTGTTCCAGGAGATCTGCAGCCAACGCCGCAGGTCCTGCCCGTTCACTGCCGGTCACCTCGCCTCGCTGTTCGATCTCACCGCTGGATATGCACGACTCCGCCGCCCTGTGCCGTCCTCGTCGGGCACCATCATGGCGGCGCGAACACTGTATGCAGTGGCTACAATCGGCGGTGGATTCAACAGCGCGGTGGGCACTAGCGAGTAGCGACCCAGCGGGCAGCGGCTGTGCTGGCCGCTGTCTGCCGCCGAGGTGTAACGGCTCGGGCCCAGACTCCGAGTTCGTCATGGCGCTCCGCGCGACTTCCCTTGCACCGGCTGACTCATGCATGCATCTACAATCTAACTAGCTAATTCCTCCCTTTGACTGCTATTTTCTCTGGTTGTACTGTTCCACAGCTTAGGGATCATCTACACAATCCATCGTCTCATGCATGCACAATCTAATTAATTTGTCTACTGACTGCAGTTTATGAATTGCTCCACAGATCATTTATAGAGATGATTTCAGACTTAGAAGTGTTGAGGTCATGATGCTCTAAATAGTTTTGAAGGTGTATTCACGACATCATGATGCTCTAAATGAAATGAAAATTTGATGGATTCAAGAAGAAAAAGGTCAGGTATGTTTAGTATGCACTACAGTAGAAATTTCACTCGTGGTCATCTTGGGATACTTGTACATGCTTGGTATTACAATAATTCTACTAATTAATTCCATGAAAGTGCTGAAATTTGCTCAGTGAACAAGAAACCCACTGGGTAACATATTTGGACGCCATACAAGTGGATCTGCATTTTTTCATCAAGGTATTGTCTCATCTTTTAATTTGCATCGTCACTCTTGAATAATTAGTTTTCATAGAGATTTATCTTTGATCTGAACATTTTGAACTTTCTTTTTGCATAACCTTGATAAAAGGATTGACAACAAATAATTAGAGAAGACTAGCCAACGAGATAAGGAGAGGAAAGAAGTGAAAAGAGACAAAATACAGTATGATATATCAATTTAGAAGTCGTAGCAATGCACATCTTTCTAAATATATATCTTTATGTGATTGGTCACAAGTTGTAGTTGGTAGTGGTAGCAGTATATATTCACTATAATTGTTTGTACGAAATCACATTAAAAAAATCACACATAAATCACAACAATTGCGTGCAAAAACACATAATCTTACCATATTTCATAGGGTGCTATCATTTTTCATGTTTGTAGTTGTATGAGAATATTAAATGTATTATTAACATGATTATTAAATGTATGAGAATATTAACATGATTAATATTGAACTCTTAAAGTTAACATGATTAATATTGAACTCTTACCATATTTTCATATGTCACTTGATATGTATGAGAATATTAAATGTATTATTAACATGATTAATATTGAACTCTTAAAGTTAATGTGGCCCCGTTGCAACGCACAGGCGTTCTTCTAGTTATCATTGATTAATCAATCGGTGACAGACTTGTAGATTTAGGTCTTGTTATTATTTCAGAACAAGGACAGATGCAACCAACCAAAACAATATTAATCTAAGGTTGATTCAAAGCAATGCTTATGTGTTTGATTGTTTAGAAGTGGTTCAAGGTTGAAATTAGATAAACCATACAGCTTAACATGCACCTAATCCATAAACACACGGTGCTTCTAGTACACGAAAGCAACATGCTGAAATTACTACCCGATCGAAACATAGTCAGATCACCACTTATAAAAAGAGTGTGCCAAGAGGTCCTGGGTTCGAACCAGCCTCTCTGCATTGCACTGTGCAGGGGTAAGACTAGGTTCCTATAATCCTTCCCCAGACCCCACCTTGTGTGGGAGCTTCTATGCACTGGGTCTGTACAACAACAACAACAACAAAGCCTTTAGTCTCAAACAAGTTGGGGTAGGCTAGCACTGGGTCTGTCCTCCTTTTTTTTTTTTACAGAGAAGATACTAGGATTTTAACTTAATGGGTTACCTAGAACTCTGAATGAAACATGGGGAAAAAAGAATGAGAAACGTCTACAATAGTGTAGCAGATTAGGAGACCAAAAATACAAGATTAACGAAGACAGTAAAACAAACAGACACATACCTTCTGGGTGAAGGTTTGGCAGTTATCCCTGTGCGCCTGAAGAGATAGTTGCGATTATGATCCATTGAGTCTCTGGTGGCGACATAGCCATGGACATGCAGCGGCCACTTGAGACCATCTGTTGGGGTCCTGATCCTGATGGAGAAGATCTGCACAGTCTGTTCTCTGAAAAGGTATTCCGGGGTGGGTGGTTCAGATGTGTAGCACATGGGACCGATACTTGCTGCAAGAAGCCAAATTAAGTTATTGGTACATACTTGCAGTACAAAGAAAGACAGATAAATACTGAAATACCAGTACTAGCTTGTTGTTATCGGAAAGCAGTATGCACGGCTAATGGCTAAGTAGCAAGCTACACCAGAAAGTAGACATTAATGGTTAATTCATGAACTTTGCTGTGTTAGCGATATTGTAGAGATCCTAACTACCTGATCGGATGTGTACCTCCCTTTGTTGTATAGATAAGCATGGACGTGTGCGTATAGTTGAGATTGTAACAACCTGATGTAATCTTCTCTTGATCGGCAAGTTTGCCCGTATATATAAACTGCAGCCGGCATCGCTCCAGATGCACGGAACAAATCCATTGTCATCTACTCTTTCATGGTATCAGAGCCTCCTTCTCTGAAACCTTGAGACGTCCAACACCATGACTTCCCCTTCCACCAACTCATCCACCACTGGTGCGCTCCTTGGGCAGACGTCCGGCGCCATCACTTCCACCTTCGCCGGCGCCATGGCATCGCCCTCTGTATCCGTCCCCAACTTCGCCCAGCTGGTCACCGTCAAGCTCGCCGGCGCCACGTACCTGCTATGGAGGGCGCAGATCGTTCCGATCTTGCGAGGCCATCATCTGTTTCGCTTCATCGACGGGTCTTCGGTTGCTCCCCCCAGGCGTGTGCCGGCATCATCTGAAGCCAACGCTGAGCTGGTTGATAACCCAGCCCATGGCGTCTGGGCTGCACAGGAGGCGCTCGTTCTCTCGGGCCTCCTGTCGACACTCGCTCCTGAAGTGCTAGCGAGGGTGGCGCTGCACACCTCACCGGCCACCGTCTGGGCGACGCTGGAGCGGATGTTTGCCTCGCACTCCAAGGCGAGGATCATGCAGCTGCGTAAGCAGTTGGCCACCATCCAGAAGAAGGACCTGAAGGTGACGGAGTATTTTGGCCGCGTCAAGACTCTCTCCGACATGCTCGCCTCCGCCGGCCGCCCCGTCGGAGACGACGACCTCGTCACGTATCTGCTCATAGGGCTGGACAATTCCTATGATCCGCTCGTTACGTCGGTCACCACTCAGGCGGGGGATGTCACCGTCGACGACCTCTTCGCACACATGCTCGACTTCGAGCTCCGCCAGGAAGGCAGTGGAGGCGGCTACAACATCTCTGCCAACAGCGCTAGCCGTGGCGGTGGTGGAAACCACGGTCAGTACCGCGGCAACGGCAGCAACGGGGGCGGCGGCAATGGCAACGGCAACGGTGGCAGCCGTGGCTACAACAACCAAGGCAAGAAGCAGCAGCAGTCACGCAGCTCCAACAACGGCAGCAACTCCCGCAGCAGCGGCGGTGGCGGCGGCGGCTACCCCGGCCCGGGCGGCGGCGGCTTCAACAACTCTGGCCCGCCCAAGGTGCGGTGCCAAATCTGCAGCAAGGTGGGGCACGAGGCGCTAAACTGCTACAACCGCTTCAATCAGAACTACCAGATGGAAGAACCTCGCGCCGCCCACATCTCCACGTCGCAGAACGTCGACCCCGTGTGGTACTTGGACACCGGAGCCACGGAGCACATCACGGCGGACCTCGACAAGTTGAACATCCGCGAGCCCTACACCGGCAAGGATCAGGTGCACACAGCTAGCGGATCAGGTATGACCATTGCTCACATCGGTCAATCCCTCATTCATACTCCCCACCGTAATCTTCGGTTGAAAAATGTCTTGCACGTCCTAGATGCTAGCCAAAATCTTCTTTCTGGTCATAGACTCGCTTGTGACAACAATATTTTTCTTGAAATTCACCCTTACTATTTTGTTATCAAGGATCGGGCTACGAGGAAGGTTCTTCATCAAGGACCCAGTGAGAGGGGGTTGTACCCTGTTCCCAGCAATAAAGCCATCCAGAGGCATGCCTTCCTCGCTTCCGTTCCCAGCCGAGAGAGGTGGCATCGCCGGCTTGGGCATCCGGCGTCTTTAGTCGTTGATCAAGTTCTTAGAAGTCATCGTCTTCCGTCTACAAGCGAGTCCAATAAAAGCACCATCTGTGATGCGTGCCAACAGGGCAAGAGCCATCAGCTCCCTTACCCTAAGTCTAGCAGTGTGTCATCTTCTCCGCTTGAACAAATTTTCTCCGATGTATGGGGACCTGCGTGTCTTTCATCCGGAGGGTTCAAGTTTTATGTCAGTTTCATCGATGATTTCAGCAAATTTACTTGGCTTTATTGTTTGAAACATAAATCCGATGTGGAGCGTGTCTTTCTTCAGTTCCAAGCACATGTTGAACGCCTCTTTAATAAGAAAATTATTCGTGTCCAATCGGATTGGGGCGGCGAATACGAGAAATTGAATTCGTTTTTCACCAAGATTGGCATCTCTCACACCGTTTCATGCCCCCACGCACACCAACAGAACGGCTCGGCTGAACGTAAGCATCGTCATGTCGTCGATGTTGGCCTCACCCTTCTGGCCCAAGCTTCCATGCCACTCCGTTTTTGGGATGTTGCCTTCCAAACAGCATGTTTTTTGATCAATCGACTTCCTAGTAAAACTATTCAGTTTGCTACTCCTCTCACCAAGTTGTTTGGGGTCTCTCCTGATTATTCGTTCCTCAAAACGTTTGGATGTGCATGCTGGCCATGTCTCCGTCCCTACAACAATCACAAATTACAGTTCCGATCTAAGCGGTGTGTTTTCTTGGGGTACAGTAGCATGCATAAAGGCTACAAGTGCTTGCATATTTCCTCTGGACGTGTCTATGTTTCGCGAGACGTTGTCTTTGACGAACAACTTTTTCCATTCTCTGAAATTCAGCCGTCCAGTGATGCTCCTCCACTCCTTGACATCCTAGGGTCTCCATCCCTCCCATCTTCTTCTGATTTTTATGGTTCCGGGAGTGTGGAGACAGGGGGGCAGCCATTGTGTCAAGGTCGTATTATACCAATTCCGCAAACTGTTGAGCAGACTGATCCGGCGTTCGCGCCGCTCTTTTCTTCAGTTTCTGGTGTGCAGGAAAACACAGCTCCAGTGGCGCATGATGATGATGAGCATGAGGACGTGCATGAGGCGGCATGCACTCTGACACCGCCTCCCATGTAGGCCAATCCGCTGCAACCGGGCGGAGCACCATGCACCGGAGCACCATGCAACGAATCGGCTGCTACCACCTCGCCCACACCAACGCGCGACTCTGCGCAAGCTTTGGAGCCAGCCGACAGAAGGCTATCTCCTGCACTACCTGGCAGTTCTGCAATGGAGGCGGCCTCGCCAGAACATATGGCACCGTCCACTGGGCCGCATCGCCGGGTCACCAGGCGTACTGAGCCGCCACGCAGATCCAGCAGCGGCGGTGGCGGCGGTGACGGCGGCTGCGACGACGGCGGCGGTGGCGGCAGCGACAGACCGCGGCGAGCTCCTCGACTTGCTGAAGCAAACCCAGAACCAATGGCTGCTGGAGAACAGGGACATAATCTTCGTCGTCTCGTCTGTGTTCCATCTCGATACACCGAAGGGAAAGTACGGTATAACCCGTATCGGAGACATCAGGCATCACTAGCCACAACTGAGCCGGTTGATCATACTGAAGCCTTTGATGATCCGAACTGGCACAAAGCTATGGATGAAGAGTATCAAGCATTGATCAAAAATCAAACGTGGCACTTAGTACTCCCACAACCTGGACGTAATCTCATTGATTGCAAGTGGGTGTTTAAGTTGAAGAGGAAGGCTGATGGGTCAATAGAGAGGTACAAAGCTCGCTCGGTCGCCAAGGGATTTAAGCAGAGATACGGCATCGACTACGAGGATACGTTCAGTCCGGTGGTAAAATCTGCAACTGTTCGTCTCATCTTGTCACTTGCCATCTCGAAAGGGTGGAGTCTCAATCAGTTGGACGTCCAGAATGCGTTTCTTCATGGCATTCTTGAGGAGGATGTGTATATGCGACAACCACCTGGGTATGTCAATCCGCAGCTTCCGCGACATGTTTGTAAACTTGATAAATCCCTATATGGCTTAAAGCAGTCTCCGAGGGCAATGGTATTCAAGGCTCAGCACCAAACTTCAGGAATTGGAGTTTGTACCATCCAAAGCAGACACCTCTCTCTTCATCTACAACAAAGGGGGAGTACACATCTACATGCTAATTTATGTGGATGATATAATCATAGCAAGCTCATCTCCACGGGCTGTTCCAGAACTTGTGAGAAATCTGCAACAGGAGTTTGCTATCAAGGATCTTGGAGATCTTCATTACTTCCTCGGTGTTGAAGTTAAGAGGAAGAGAGATGGAGCGGTGCTGCTGCAGACCAAGTACGCCAATGATCAGTTGGCTCGAGTAGGCATGACTGATTGCAAGCCAGTTACGACGCCAATGTCAAATACAGAGAAGCTATCAAGGGGAGAAGGAACCGAGTTATCAGCAGCTGATGCGACAAGGTATAGAAGTGTTGTAGGTGCGCTCCAGTACCTAACTCTTACACGCCCAGATATTGCTTTCGCTGTCAACAAGGTGTGCCAATTTCTTCAGACACCAACTGATCAACACTGGTCAGCGGTAAAACGCATCTTGAGATATGTGAAGAACACGTCTGGGGTCGGCCTACATATTCGACGTTCAGCCTCCACACACATCAGCGCGTTTTCTGACGCAGACTGGGCAGGTTCAGTTGATGACAGGCGGTCCACAAGTGGCTTCCTGGTGTTTCTCGGTTCCAACCTTGTTACATGGAGTTCGAGGAAGCAACAGACTGTTTCACGGTCGAGCACCGAAGCTGAGTACAAGGCGTTGGCAAATGCGACAGCGGAGATCATTTGGTTGCAATCGTTGTTGGGGGAGCTTGGCGTATATCAATCCCGAGCCCCAACGTTATGGTGCGACAATCTTGGCGCTACATACCTAGCTGCCAATCCCGTCTTCCATGCTCGCACAAAACATATTGAGGTGGACTTCCACTTCGTTCGCGAGAGAGTGGCACGCAAGACCCTGGAGATACGGTTCATCTCAACACAGGATCAGCTAGCGGATGGCCTGACGAAACCAGTTGGGGTTCAGCAGCTTCGCACGCTATGTCACAATCTCAACCTATCGGGTTGTGATTGACGGGGGGTGTTAGCGATATTGTAGAGATCCTAACTACCTGACCGGATGTGTACCTCCCTTTGTTGTATAGATAAGCATGGACGTGTGCGTATAGTTGAGATTGTAACAACCTGATGTAATCTTCTCTTGATCGGCAAGTTTGCCCGTATATATAAACTGCAGCCGGCATCGCTCCAGATGCACGGAACAAATCCATTGTTATCTACTCTTTCATGCTGTGGTTGGATTGGGTTGGTATTGTATACAGAAGTACAAAAACCAGACCATATGAGCAGTTGAACAGGAAAAGACTGTAACCAGGATCTTTACCGGCCTTGTTCCATGTAAAAAAAAAACAGACAGTTTCTTCTTCTTAGCTAAACAGGCAAAACCATGACATTTTTTTTAAGCAAACGGCCAGTTTTCTGTTGTCAATGAACCAGGGTTCAATTGAACCCACGTTTGGAGCAGTGAACCAGCTTAGGATGACCAATCAGCAGTCCAGTTTCAATAGCTATAACCCTAGCATTAGAAGATGCAATGCAAAGGGTCTCGGATAAATGGGTTGTATTTGTGGCTGGGCGGCCACCCAATCAGCCACAAGAGCAGCAACAGAAACTGCTTTAATTTCCTGCGTGGATAGACTAGATGCGTGGTGTGGCCCCTAGAAAAATCACACGGCACAGGGGAATCCAGATTTTCTTTATTCTTTTCATTAGGAAAGGAATTCAGATTTGATTAGAATATACTAGCTCCGGAATTACTTGTGGGGATGTATCTAGCACTATATAAAGAGAATCGATGAGCGACAAATAATTCCGTCCGGATATTATTATGTAGTACTCCCTCCGTTCCTAAATATTTGTCTTTCTAGATATTTCAACAAGTGACTACATACAGAGCAAAATGAATGAATCTATACTTTAAAATATGTCTATATACATTCGTATGTGGTAGTTTATTTGAAATCCCTAAAAAGACAAAGTATTTAGGAACAGAGGGAGTATATAGAAAGAGAATCGATGAGATGTTTCTTACTTTGGTCGTCGAAGGAGCCGAAACGGTCAGCCCACCTTCTCTCCCAGGTTCGACGGTACATGGTGATGGAGTCCTCCTCCTTGAAGTCCCCCTTTGGCCAGTCTCGGGTCGGAGGCGGCCGCAGATTCTCTTGGTCCTCCGCCACCGCCTCCGCCTCCGCCACCGCCTCGTCCCGTGTTGGGGTCGGCGGTTGATTCTCATCGCGACAAATTCGGTTCTTCTTCACCAGGGCCTTGTTCTTGACCAGTTTGAGGCGGAGCGGCCTCGTCGGGCACGGTCGGCTGCCACGCGCTCCACCGTTTCTTCTCCCACAGATATTTTCCGAGTCGGAGCAAGTATTAAAATGCAACAAACACAAAGATGTTGCGCGCACCGGTGGCTGGGGGTTCATCTACAGAAATAAATGAAGATAGAGATGCTCACTTTGCGGTGGCTGCTTCTGCAAATGGTCTATCTGAAGAAGCACCTCACGCTGAAGCAGTGGCGATTACCCTTTGCTTTGCAGATGAAGATGGGAGTTGGCAGACTAGTATTCGAAACTGATAGCCTGACGCTCCAACATGCAGCACTGGCCAATCTCTTCAGAGCTAAGAGCTACTCCCTTCGTCCCAAAATTCCTGTCTTAGATTCGACTTGATACATCCGTATTTAAACAAATCTAACAAAAAAAATTGGGACGGAAGGAGTATTAAACTGAAGCTCCAAACTCAGTCTATCCATGCGTGTGTTGTGCATGTAACAGGCCGGCGCATGTTCTTGCGTCCTTGGGTGCAGGGTTAGCTATGGACACCAAGTATGTGGTTTGAGAACTACCCTGATGCTGTAATATGTGCTGTAACCGGTGTTCCATCCAACAATAAAAAAAACAAAGATGTTGCACACCAAAAACACACACACACACACACACACACAGTATAATCAAAATTGCTCACGTACACGAGCAGGACGAATCTACCAAGGTGGCTTCGGCAGGCTCCAGCCCCCCTCCAAAAATTGGAAAAAGAAAAATTACTAGTATTCATATCAAAATTTGACCTTATTTAGACTAAAGAATTTGGAGTTTTTGACTTCTTCTACACACCGTAAACTTTGAGCCCCTCCTTTATTTTCTTTCAAGATTCGTCACTGTACACGAGCATAAATTCACCCCTATGGACGAACTTATACACACCTTACCTCTATGAGACCACATTGCTAGGCAACCTGCGATCAGGAGGTCTTAGGTTCGATCCTCCATACTAGAACTAGTTTTTTTCTTTCCCATGCTGACATGTGGAACCGACATTTATGACTTCAGATTTTTTTTTCATGTAATTAAATAAAATCTAATGTTGCAGTTTTGAGCAATTTACTGAATAAAGCAGATATACAGAACAGACAGTGGCACAATAACGAAGTCCAAATGCGAATTGTGTTAGATCCAGCATTATTAATCGATCTGCACAAGTATTGAACAGTGTGGAAGACACGAATTACATTTCATCATATCAAAAAAAGAGAACAATACATGGAGATATCTGACCAAGCAAGGTAGAATACATCAAAATGTTGGCTAAAGCCTTCGGCGGCACCAAAAAAATCGAGCACCAACTTCCTTATCATTCACTTACCACGAATACGAACCTGTAAAGATTTGAGCAAAAAACAAAACTAGTCCACAGGTTAGCCTTGCAAAGTTTCTAGTAAAATCTAATGCGTACGTACTGCATCACCCGATCCCTACCCTTCTTTCATTTACCATATATATGCTCCCAGCTACAGGAGAAGTTAACACAACGTAGCCACCTGAACATGCTAGTGCCCTGCAAGAGAAAAAGAGTAGGCAAGATACAAACTCTGTACCTTCTTCTCTCAGCCCATCCTATTTTTCATCAGATCAACCTACGAGGCTCTATCAAGCACCAAAATATGGAAAAAACTAGCAGCATGAATCCATTCCTCGAGTTGTTGATGAAAAATCGCCATGTTCAACTTATAACAGCTTTCATATGTTCCATAGACTAACCAAAAAGGCAGAAGAACAATTTGACAAACAAAGACAAATGCTTCCTTGGAAAGTTGATGCATCTGTTAACAATTTACAGGAATCGAATGTAAATTTCACTGGTTCAATCTTCTACAGAGGGCAGCTTAATATGTTAAGATAGCATGTGAAATACCAAAACAATGCATATCTTACTTCCGTAAATAACAAGTCTATTTCCTATGATTAACATAAACAATGATGCTGCAGCAACCCTTGTGTTCAGTAACTTATGTTTAAGAATATATGAATGATCTTATTTTAAACAATGTACCATTATGTAGCGATTGTAACCTCAATTCTGTGAAACAAATACCCGTGTATGGTCAATGCTCTAAGCAAGGCACACACATGGATAAAGATTACAGACTTTACCTTCCAAACTGAAACTGTTTGGCCTGGCAAGTACTGAATCAAAAAGATACCTCGTTTTGTAAAACCACATACTGGAAGCACAAGTAGAACATACAGTCATGGGGTCGGGCATAAGCAAGCAAAAGAGGTAATGCTCCATCTTTGCCTGCCGCAGCTAGGCGGCGGAAATAGACGGAGCAACAAAGAAGATTAACATCTTCTACCTGAGGATCAGGGAATCATATGCTAACAGGCTGCCGCTAACTGGGAACAACTTAATCTACTCCCTCCGTCCCAAAATTCTCGTCTTAGATTTGTCTAAATACGGATGTATCTAGTTACGTTTTAGTGTTAGATACACCCGTATCTAGACGAATCTAAGACAAGAATTTTGGGACGGAGGGAGTAATAAAATAACTACCAAGATAACCTACTAGGAGATGAGCAGCCCCTGATATTGATGTAGCTTGAGCATGGGGACGGCACTGATAATTATGCCCCCACATGTCATAGCATGTGCAAAATATATCGAATTGCCAGATCATAAAGAATCTTGTGAAAACACCTTGTGGTGTGCAGACCATTAGTTCCATCAGAATATAATGGAATAAGATATAGAATTACTAAATATATATACCATAGATAGAGCAGAGCAACGAAAACATAACTAAACAAAAAATTACAAAGATCATGATGGTATGCAATTTGCAGAGGCCGAACCTACCAGCCCTCCATTCCTAACATTAGGCCAACCACAGCTTGCCTGTAACTCGAGAAAGAAACAAACAGGAACACTAGACAAACCACACAAGCAAAGCATTTTCTCCTAGAAGAAACACGAGAATACTGCAAAGAAGAGAAGACGTTAAAAGCTAGCTAGTTTCAATCTTGAATGCACACCACCAAAACAGGCAACCTATATATAAAAATAAAATAATTAGTGGTGAAGATTACCTCCTAATCTTACCGACTCAATGGATAATCGGCCACTTCAATTAGAACTTGTGGCTCGGGTGCTGGCCTGCATTTTCTTTCTTCAGGTCTCTTTCTTGTTGTATACAGCCGTGCGTAGCTGGAATACAAAGACAAGAGGCATACATACATACATACATACAGGTTAATAAGTAACAGTTGGTACACGTAAAAACAGAAACAGTTGGTAGATGATAGCTGCAGGCAAAGGATGGAAGAAACCATGTCTAATTTGCTACTCCCGGCCCTCCTCAAACTGGTAGTTTCCATCTCGTGCCTGCCTGCTACTGGAGCCAGCCATCACAATGAGGTCCACTAGGTCTTAGGGCGATAGCCCTAAGACCGGTTTGGATGGCGGTCATGTAATAGGATAGGCATTTAGTGTTCCTATCTACTTTACCCAGCCGGTTGTGGCATCTTGATTTGGCTAGTTGTTGTTTCTAGCCTTTTTTGGCTCTGTGTGAGCTTTTTCTACTTTTCTACGACCATTGGAACCATGTTGGCACTACTTCATTTTTTAATAAGAGGGCCGTATGCATCGTGCTGATGCAGAGGCCGGGTTTTTTTCCCCCCTTTTCGAAAAAAAAAAAGAAAAAAAAAGGTCTTAGGGCGATAGCCAGCCAAACAAAGGATGGAGTTTGTTGTTAGTGCCTAGGCAGCCAGGCAAACCTGACGGAGAATCAGATTACCTGGAGAAACGGCAGCAAACGAATGCTTCAAGTAGGGGCCAACTATTATGACTCTGGATATCCCATCCCATCCCATCCCATCCCAGTATAATCAAAGGTAGGGGCGACGGGCAAGAGCAACTAACAAAAGATGCAGCATCAGGAACCAGGGGAGTCGAGTCTGCAAACGACATGGCATCAGACTGGCGACGGTGTGAAGAAGAACAAAAATCACATCTGTTGAACCACGGTTTGAACTCTGTTCCTATTTCACCAGTCTTTCAGTGTACTCTAACACGTCGGTCAGGCTAGTGAAGCAAATAAGGTTCGTCGGTGTCTGTCTACAGCCTAGTTGCCCTGTGGTCGATCCAAAGATCTGACATCGGTGGGTTACTGATTAATACGGAGTATATCCTAGCTAATCCCCGTCGACTTCCTCACAGCCCCTACAACCTACCTGTGCTTCACAGTTTCAGTTAGCATGATGAAGCCCAAATTCAGCGCAAGGATGGATTACCACCGAATCACACTGCTCGCAATACCAACAAAACAATCGCGCAGAAACGCCCCCCGGTTTGAGGAGTCGAATTGGGTGGAGGATCGGAGCACTGGGTCAACCCTATGATGTGGCGCGGCGGCGAGCTACCCAAAAGACCTAACTACGGCATGGGGTTGCGCCGGCGAGGTAGGCGGCGGTTGGGGGCGAAACGGCCCTCCCTATTGCGGGCGGCCGGACTGCATGCACATGTGGGGCGGCGGCG